TTTATTTACATAAACAGAAGTAAATTAAGTTTAATTAACATATTTTAGAAAAAGCTCTAAATAAATGAGCTATTTTTAACATTCAATTTTAAAAACAGAATTACAATTATTTACATAAATACAAAGTATGATTAAATACAGAAATTTGCCAATCCGCCTTGATTTTTCAAACTCCTAAAATTAAATTTGTAAATTAATATGTATGTATATTACAGTGCTAATAAAGATGGTCAAACTCACTCAATTTTGTAGTGTCCATGTGCTAATGTATGAATTTGATCCTTTAACACAACCCTTTTATCGTCGTACCTATTTAACGCTAGCTTTGTGCTATCAATCGACTTAATTTGGTGTTTGTACGATCTAAAGGATCGCATTTCTCTATAAGGAGTATAATCTTCGGGTAAATCGATTATTCCCTGAAAAAGACACTGTTTATAATTTTCAAATATTATATGGTTTTTTACGGCATGATGGGCCACGCCTTTGGCTTTGATAATTTCTTTAGTATTTTGAATAAAACCGTATGCTTTAGATCTTAGAGCAACATGTGCTGAAATAAACTCTCCACCAGTCTCGTCTGTGAAAGTGCCGGGAATCTTGCAACGCTCTGTACGGTAACATGGATGGTTAACTGGATAGTTTGAAGTATCCAGTTTTTCCAAAAACCCTCGATTATGTTCCATATCCTCATAAAAATTTTATCACCCTCTGATAATAATTATATATTGAGATACTTAATAGATCATATTAATATATGTTAATTTGTCTTTTAAGTTTGTTTACTAACAACTCTATACCTAATAATACAACTGAGTGTAATAAAATCGGAGTTAAAGACTTTGATGATGTAACAACGGAAATTACAATACCGACTGGATCATATGAACTGTCACAGTTGGAAACCGTATTAAAAAAACTGCTGGAACCGTACGTTCATTCGTTCTCTTTAGAACCAGACGAAGTTACATTGAAGAGCGCACTTAAATGTAGTAATGCAATTGATTTTACGGTAACCGATAATATTGCGAGGTTATTAGGTTTTAATGAACAAGTCCATGAACCTAATATACGACATGTTTCAACAAATATTGTTGATATTTTTCAAGTTAATACTATATATGTAGAGTGTAATATAGCAAGCGGTTCATAAAGATTGATATACTAGATATATTAATGAACGAATAAATAACCAATTTACATATTTACCCGATCATTTNTAGAAAAAAACATTGTAATTCCTTTAAGAGTGTGCAAGGATGAAAAACCCGATCATTTCGATCTTTTAATGATTTCAAACGAGGCTGGCCAGAGACATTATTGTTACATAACCGATCTGGCTAAGCTGGTACGATCATCGATGACGTCATTTTGTTCTAAAACTGTTATATGTAGAAGATGCTTTAAAACTTACACTTCCAAGCCAGGAAAACCCAGCAAAGAAGAACTTCTACGTCAACACAAAGAGCGTTGTAGAGTTAACGAGCCTATAACACCAGTTATGCCTGAGTCTAACACAACAACCAAATTTGAAAACTGGGCCAATACTGAACGGCATCCTGTTCCATTTACGCGGATTTTGAAGCTGTTTTGTTCAAACACGACTCTGAAGAATTGCATTATACCCAAATAACTCATGACCATGAACCCATGAGCTACTGTTATTATGTTAAGGCTAAAGAAATCATACCAATTACATTACTACAGCAGTTTTCAATTCCAACGTCTCCAGTGTTGTACAGAGGGGACGGTCTTGGAGAAAAGGGTGCGGTGGCTAAACATTTTGTTCAAGAAATTGTTAAAGTAGCTCGAAATATATCGGAAATGTTACATGTCAACATGCCAATGACTTTTAAGCATGCTGACGCGAAAAAACATAACGATATAGTAAAACGGGGTTCGTGTCCTTTATGCTCTAAAAAATTCTCTACAAACAATCAACCAGTGCGTGATCATGATCATTTAACTTCTAAATATCGACAGACAATATGTAATGAGTGTAATTTAAATTTAAAATCTCCTAAATTCGTGCCATGTTTTTTTCATAACTTATCAAATTATGACAGTCATTTCATTGTAACACAGCTAGGATATGATGATAAACCGATAAATGTTATACCTAACACCAAAAAATTATACATTAGAGTTTTATATATGTCTAAAACGGCAAATCCTATGTACATGGGCTTATCAAAAACTAAATCGTCTTTATGTAAATGTACAGCACACCAGTTGTCACCATATATTATTGTGCCTTTATGGTTTGGTAAATTGACAAGTTTTCTGTATCTTTCCTCGCTGCTCGTAAGTTCCATTTTCAATCTTAGGCGAACGTTCTCCATCGTTTTACCTAAAATATTATGCATATTTAATTACAAAATAATAATCGTTAAGTATATAATAATAAATATATGAAAAAATAAAGGCACCAAACACGGAATTGTTCATAAGTTTGTAAAAATCTTTTTCAAAAGTATTTTTCGCCATCGCCCTCATCCTTGTATTC